TCACAAAAGGGTAAGCTTAAATTGGAGGACGTGCATTTCATAAAAGAAAGGGAGTTACTGAACCGAGCCAAGTCGAGTAGCTCATGTTGGAGCTCGTGCTTGTTTATTAAACCAGTCGGTTCAATTCATCTTGTTTAAGCTCATTGCAACTTGGGTCAACTCGAGTAACAAATTCAAAATCATAAATGAATTATTTGCAAACATAATTTGTGCGTAATAGAGTGTGCCCAACTCGTCTCACTTAATTAACGAGATCCATTAGTTATTCAATCGGGACTCATTTATATAAACAAACAAGTCGAACTCGAATTTTACCAAACTATTTCTTTTTTTAATTTTTTATTTTCTTGAACAACTCGATTCGAATAATAACTATGTAGAAATGGATGAACAAAATAGTATAATACTACTTTTGAATTGTTGATGATGTTAGTCAAACACTCTATATTAATTTATACCCAAATAGGGATGTTCATGTTATCAAACAAATGTGTAAGTTTTTTTCAAACGACTTATACGTCTAATTCTATGCATGTGACTATTCTTTATGACCATGAGAGCGGGGCAATTTTGAAGAACTTGGACTCCTTTGTATAGGGACTTATACGCCATTAAAGGTTAATTCAAACGTATTTTATTGCTTAATCCACGTACTAATTACTTTAATCACGTCTATAGACTATAATGATACAATGTTAGGTAATTCAAATGTATTCTATAGCTTAATACACGTACTAGAAGAGTCGAGTTTGTTCATTAATTCATTATTTATTTATTTATTTGCTTATTGTCCGCCAATTGTTCGTTTATGATTTTAAGTTTATTAAACGAATCGAGCCAAATCTTTATGAATCAAAATTGGGACGAGTCTTTGGCTCATTTATTAAACAACTCAAGTGGGACAACTCGAATAGGCTCGATTCGAGAAGATTTCATATTAAATTGCAATGTTACGAGTTTATATAATAATAATAAAAAAAAAATAATATAAAGGAAAAGCTGATAATATTTTTTATTAAAATATGAGCGGTTTAGACCGGGTCCACTGATGGGTGCGTGCCTTTTCCCGGTTGGACCCTACCCATGTGCTTTTGCTCGTTCTAAAAATTGCACCGCATATTTCTGAATAATCCTAAAGCGGCCCCCCAAATAAGTTCAAATTAGCTTTCTCGACAATAACTGAGCCAAAATAGTTGGCCATGCGGCCATGGGCCCACTGTCACCAACATTTTTCGTTCGCCCAATATATAAAAGCTTTTCATAAATTATAAAACTAAGGGTACGTTTGTTTAGGGTGATGAGATTAGATTAAATTAATATGGGAATGGTAGATTGTACTGTATAGATACAATTAAACTCATATTTGTTACATGAGATTGTTAATTCGGATAAGATATACGAAATGTTTGTTTCTCTAGATAACTCTTAAGATATAATTATGTAATGTCAATTTTGCCCTTGTCACTAAAAATAATTTACTGTTTCTCCTTCATTTATGTTTTTTAATTTTCTCAATTATCGTCAACGGACCTTTTTTCTTTTTCTCAGTCTGTGCCATTTCTTCCTTCCCAGCAACTCTACTTTCAATCATCCAGCAACTCTAATTTCAATCTTCGAGGATTTAGAGGTAGAATTTATGACAAATTATATTTTTCTCTTTCATTTTTGGTTGGGCGTATGAGTTACCCTAAAAAAATATCAATTTTGTCTGGTATGGTGAGGGCTTTGACTGAGCTGGGAAGGAGGAGTTGGTAGGCGGCAGATCTGTAACAAAGGTAGGGAGAAAAGGAAAAACACGATAAAAGTAGATCGGATTAGGGAAAAGACGGCCGCCACTAGCACGGTGGTCGGCAGAGGGAGCAGGCAAACTCCAGCGGGCACCACACGATGGACGATGGTGGAGTCGTCGATGTGGTCGGGTCGTCCACATGATGGACGAACGCGGATGGCTGGTACGTCTTGGTCAGGAAGGCACCGGCACCGACCTGTGGGAGTCCAGGGAGAGCAATATTCACTCGCAACTGTCCACGCCATTAAACAAGGATAAAATAGACTTTTACTTTGTTTAGAACTGTGTGGATCAAAGTAATCTCGCCTCCCACTCGAGACTCTTTTGTCTTGAGTATTCAAGATAAATTGCTTTTTGATCGCGGGCCGAGTCTTATCTTGCGGGCTATGATCTTGGGCAACAAACATAAGATTACCCCAGGATTGGAGGGCTAATCTTGTCTTATCTTGGCTATCAAACTAGGCCTTAATATGTTAGATGAGACGAGCTTAATTCAATAACTCAGAACTCGGCTAGTATCATTAGTGAGTAAATCTCGAAACTTAATTAGTCGAATGATGTTAATAGTTGACAAATATAATAAAAACTATTATTTATGAAACCTAGTTTTGTCGAGCTAAATTTGTTAGTCACTGATTTCGTTTAATAGCTACAACAATGACTTTCTTTTG